CTGCTGCTCTCCCCGGGTCTCTTCCGGGTCCCTCTCGCGGCGTTCCCCGGTCTGGCGGCGGCGTTCCCGGTCTGGCGGCAGTGTTCCCCCGGCCTGGCGGGTGGCGGCGTGCGTTCCCCCGGCTGGCAGCGGCGTTCCCCTGGTCTGGCGGGCGGCAGCGTGCGTTCCCCTGGCGGGTGGCGGCGTGCGTTCCCCTGGCTGCTCTTCCCGGCTCTCTTCCGGGTCCCTCTAGCGGCGTTCCCCGGTCTGGCGTCCATTTGGTTTCTGAGGCTGCAAATTGCACAGGGGACTGCTGAACTTTCCCTCACAAAGCCAATGGTGGATTAAACCACCATTTGAAGACTAGAGGTTGCTTTAGTTTGGCAGAGCAACCTACTATGAACTAGGCAACCAGAGCTCACTAAACAGATAGTGAACATTTTCAAAAAATAAAGGAACTCTGATGATATAATCTGGAGTTTGTTGTGATGTTAACAAAAAATTACAATAAAGTGATGTGACAATTGGTGCACTTGTGAATCACTTATTGAAAGAAGGAAGCATGTCTTAATTTTTTCTTCCTTTTTTTGAGCAGCTCAAACATCCACCTAGTGGGAACTTTGGTATTTTCTAACTGACAAAGATGTGTCCAGTGTTTTATAATCTGGAATTTTGCTTCATTTTTAATTGTTAGTAAACCTAAAGAAGGTTTCTTTGCTCTTGGTTGCAAGTATTCTTTTCTTTGGGAGTGTTTCTATTATATATAATTATGCATAAAAACTTTCATGATTAGGAAAAGCAGCAAGAGCATGTCTTAGTTATCGAATGCTGCTATAACAGTTATCACAAGTTGATGGCTTTAACAAGCAGAAAAAGAATCTCTTACACTTTAGGAGGGAGCTCTAGTGACTTAGTGGTAAAGGATTGTACTGCCAACCAAAGACATGTAGTTATAATCCACCAGTTGTACCAAGGGGAAAAGATGGTCAGTCCCCACCTTTGCAATTTGTTGCCTCTAAAAATCCTCTGGAAAGTTAGCTATGAGTTGATTTTGAGTTGACAGTATATAAACAAGAAAAGAGTTTAGGAAGCTAGATGTCCAAATTCAGGGTGCCAGTTCTGGGGGAAAGCTCTCTGTGTCATTTGTGGCAGGAAGTCTTTTTGTATGTGGACATCAGGAATTCTCAGGAGACCGCTATGTGCCGTGGCCTTCTTCCATAACAAGGAGGTTCCTCTCTCAGAGGCCTAGATTCAGATAGATGCTTTTTACTCTGGGCAATTATTTCTTGGTTGAATTACACTGACCACACCTGGGGGAATTATTTTTTTTTTTACTTAAATTTTATTAGTTTTAATGAACATTTACAGAGATTTTGGGTTTTCATTCATTCATTGTTGCACTGCTTTCTCCACCCTCCTCCCCAGTCCATTCCTCCCTCCACCCCCCATGTCTGTTTTAACTGTCCAATTGCCACAGTGCCCGCCAAAGCCAGTTCTGATCAATCTCCCTTGTCAGTGTGTCCCTTGCCATTACCTATCTCTCCTCCCTGAGAGAGACTTCACCCTGATTCATAAGGAAAAGGGGATGGCGCAGTCTCTTAGCTACTTCCTGCTGAAAAGGGACGCTGTGGGTTTCAGGGTGAAGGTCTTCTCTCACTACTCTAAAGGGCCCCTTTGGCAGTAGGAAACACATAGACTATTATGGAGATCGACCCAGGAATTTAGATGCACTGCCATCAACCGTGCCCAGCCGTACATGCTCATATCCTTGAAGATGTATCATGGAAGTGCTGCAGCCTTCAAACTTCAAAGCAGCAAGATGTTCTTCCTTTATCTTGAGTTTCAGCTCATTTTTCCTTTGCATTTCAGCGATTTCCTCTGGGGTGGCTAGTACAGGTGATGATTCTGCTACAGGTGATTTACCAGAATTGCTGAGTCAACCTGAGGGCAGGTCAGTAGTGATGCAGCTCCCGCCGGGCCGCAGCTCCCGCCGGGCTGTAGTGCATCTTTTTACCACTAAGCATAGTAGAGTTCCTCCAGCAATCAGGTGATGAGACTATCCACGTTCAGCTCCCCGTCTGCCATCTTGTCGGCACTCCCATCCTGCCTTCCCTCCGCAGTGGATCAAAAGCAAAAAGTGAAACTAAGGCCAGGGCGCCGGGGTGTTCACGGTGCGCTCCCGGCAAGGCCTGGCCTCCCCACAGCCCCGGGTCCAGCGGGGCCCAGGCTGGATAGAATTAGGTCTTTGATGGTATTAAGGAATGTTGCATTCCACCCTTGATCCTTCTATGACTTCTTGGTTTATCAGATCACAGGACATCACTATACAGCTTCCACATTATATTACTATATATACATATGTATATTTGGTAACACAATTAAATCTAACAATGTAACAATAAGCTTAATTATTGCATTATTATGGTAAGGAAGAGACATGATGAACTCTGCAAAATTTCAAATGGGCTTAATTTTGAAAACTAAAAGGAGTAGATTTTAATTCATTAAAATGACCGTAAGTTCTTAAAAAAATCATGTTACATTTAATTTAAAAGTGTGCGGCAAGGTGTTAAAATGTGACCAGTAAAAGAAAAACCTCAGTCACTAGATAGTGTGTGATGAATATCCCATTTAGGGAAAATAGTCTCTAATAGTTTTTAAGCAAGAAAAGTTGCAGTGGTATTTCAACAAGGAAATGCCTCTTCCTTCTCAATGAGAATAGCCAACTGCATGTTATAGTTAAAAATCTATACTTCTAAACTGAGGATATTGTTTAACATCTATTTGCCACTAATTCAAGGGTCTTATAAGTAGAGAGTAGCATAAGCCATAGGGAGTTGTGCTGAGCCTCTCTGGAGGTTCTCATTCTACCAGAAACTCTGCTACTAGTGGTGCAACTTTCTATGTACTAGGCTACTAGACTTCCCATAGAAGGCAAGGATGGTGAAATTTCATCTTCCAGTCTGTGGGCATGCTCTCAGGAGGAGCCAGTCCTTGGAAAAAGATGTCATGCTGGGAAAAGTAGAGGATCAGTAAAAGTGACTAAGAACCTTCATAAGATATGTACTGCCATATAACTGCAACAAGGGGCTTTAGCATGGTGGAGATTGTGAAGGTTCATGATAGGGTAAGGTTTTTATCTGTTTTACATAGGACTACTATGAGTCCTCAGAACAAAGGACTCAATTCTTGTTGCCCTGAGGCGCACTAGAGATTATCTCAACTTCCTCCTTTTGGATCACAAATATTCATGGTGTTCAGACAACATCATTAAGCCCACAGACTTTCCCAGGAATGGTTAGGCAATAACACAAATGAGGACAACTCCGGACAAAGATGTGTTTTCTGCCATTTGAGGCATTAAAATTTGAGACTGCTCTAGTTTGGTAGTCCTTAATCCTGTTCTTTACCCATTCCATTCCAACCATAAAGACTAAAGGTGGCTTCAACAATCCAGTCTTTATTAGTACACAAGTCAGAACAATGTAAAGCAAGTAGTTGTTTGATTGGGTAACTTGAAGGCAGAATAAATTAATCATGTGCATCACATGAGGTCAACAATGTCCTTGATAAGGGGAAATTTCTGAAAGCTGAGAGAACACAGTTCATGTCTTTGTGGCCAAACATTGGTCACGTCCATAGCTAAGCCTTGGAAGGAAATAATGCTCTCAGGATACAATTCATTCCAGTGATTACAAAGGAATAACAAAAAAGTCTCCCTGCACACACTGTTGTGGCTGACACTCTGAAAGACTGAAAGTGTGTAAAACTCTTATGGCTCCTGTCACTCGTGGTGACATTAGAGTTCATGGTCAGAAAATGCTATTTTTGAGTGGAAGACCAATTTGTGTTATAAGTTTTTCATTCAAATCACAATTAAAAATTAAAAAAAGAAAATTCAACCTAGCTCTAGAAATCTTCTATCCTGTTGGGTATCTGGATGAACATAGTTGAAATTCTGGCTGATGGTTCCCTCATAAAGATCATTCTCTAAGTTTATCTTTGATGATGGTCATCATATTGAACAAGAAGAGGACTTTCTGATGTCAAGTGAGGTTAGGCTGAAGATTTTCCCACATCTGCTTCCCTAATAAGGCCTATCTGGTTTGTGAAGCTTCTGGTGTTGAATCAGATTAGACCTTTGGCTAAAGGCTTTCCCACATTCACTGCATTCATAAGGTCTTTCACCACTGTGCACTCTCTGATGTTTTATGAGGTCAGAACTTTGGCTGAAGGTTTTCCCACATTCAGTGCACTCATAAGGTCGCTCACCAGTGTGCAGTCTCCGATGGTTGCTGAGGCTAGAGCTTTGGCTAAAGAATCTCCCACACTCACCACATTCATAAGGCTGTTCACCTGTGTGTATCCTCTGATGTTTAATGAGACTGGAGATGTGACTGAATAATTTTCCACATTCGTTGCACTTATAAGGCCTTTCTCCTGTGTGAATTCGGTGATGTTTAATTAGGTTTGAGTTGTAGGTAAAGGCCTTCCCACATTCATTGCACTCATGTGGGCTTTCCCCTGTGTGGACCCTCCGATGTTTAATGAGGCTGGAGCTTTGGCTAAACCATTTTCCACATTCATTGCACTCATATGGCCTTTCTCCAGTGTGGACCCTCTGATGCTGAATGAGGTTAGAACTTTGGCTGAAAAACTTCCCACATTCGCCACACTCATAAGGCATTTCTCCTGTGTGAACTCTCCGATGTTTAATAAGGCTGGAGATATGCCTAAAGAACTTCCCACATTCCCAGCACTCATAAGGCTTTTCTCCAGTGTGGACTCTCTGATGCTGAAGGAGGCTGGAACACTGGCTGAAGGACTTCCCACACTCGCTGCACTTGTATGGTCTCTCTCCAGTATGGCTTTTCTGGTGCTGAATAAATCTGGTTTTGTGGCTGAAGGCTTTTCCACAGTTACTGCACACATAAGATCTTTCTCCAGTGTGAATTCTCTGATGTATACTGAGGGTGGACGTCTGCCTAAAGAACTTCCCACATACACCACACACATAAGGCCTTCCTTCAGCATGGATTCTCTGGTGCTGAACAAGCATGGATCTGTCACTGAACATTTTCCCACATTCACTGCACTTATTAAAAGTCCTTTGCACAGTGTGAACATCAATCACACCTTTGGTGTTCCTTGGTGGCTCCTTAAGACTAAGATGCTGGAGAAAGCCTGATGTGCTCATGAAGTCCTTCTCCCCCTCTCTAAATGTGAAAGAGTCCTCTAATACATAGGCTCTACTGCTCTTCATAAATAAGGCTTTACCATCATCCCTCCTGATGGGCTCTATATTCTGTTGTATCTGTGGCTGGTGAAGGTTTGCATTGGACCCAAATCTTCTCCCAAATGCCCCACAAATGTGCGATTTCTGCCCAGAATGTGTTGTTTGTTGTTTAACCAGATGCAAAATATCTTTTGAAAGTAGGCCACCCATGTTACAGAGGTAGTCTTTCTGGATTAACAGTCCAGCTTTAGGATTTCTGTCCTGCGACAGTCCTTCTACAAAAACACTATGCTCAGAAGGTGATTCCTGGACCTCCATTCTGTGCCAAATACCTGAAAAATGGAAATAATAGTGACATTCACGTTAACTTTGGTGGAAAGAAAGGTCTATTACCATTGAGTTCATTCCAACTCATAGTGACTTTAAAAGACAAGGTAGAAGTGACTCATAGGGTTTCCAGGGTACAAGGTTTATGGAAGCAGAATGTCATATATTTGTCCTACACAGCAGTCAATGATCTTCCAGTTAGCAGATGACGGCTTAGTCAAGCACCAATAAGGTTACTTGGAAAGAAAAATTCCCATCACTAATGCATATCTGATCCAAGAAGGAGCCCACGGAATTACTGGCAAGATGAGAAGCCCGACGTTGGAGTATGATAAGTTCTGCTTTGCAGTACTATGCCTGGAAAGATCACAAAACAGAGACCTTAAGTTCTGGTAGTGTAGTCCAGAGGGAGTTTTGCTGCTATCCTAAAGGCCATGCCTTTCTGGCGTTTCAAATCCACCAGCAGCTCCATGGAAGAAAGACAGGCTATCTGTTCCCATGCAAATTTTAGCCCTGGAAACCCACTGGAGTGTCAGAAATGAATCACTTCTGATGGGATGGCAATGAATTGATGGGTTTTTACCAGGTCTAAGGACACACGAACTAAGTGTAATATTGGGTAGAGAGATATAATCTCTAACTCACTTCTGTATTAAAGCTTTTCAGTAGGGCCCAGGCTGCTAGAAACCCATGAGAGCCATGCAGAAGGGTAGGTGTAGGTACAGAAAAGTCTTCTGCAACTAGATAAATCATGTTGAAAGACTATTAAAAGAAATGCACACACCTCATGACAATCAAGTACAGGCAATGCTGGAGAACACCGCAGAGGTAACTGTGGAGTGAAGACACAGAAGCCAAAAAGGTGGAGGGGTTAGGGCTCAAATTTTAATGCCTCAAATGACAGAAATGACAAGTAAGTAAAGCTTTTGGAATGAAGAAGGAGAGGTATAAATCAAGAATGGTTGCTAGTTTTGGTACCAAAATAATGACAAATATGAGAGAAGTTGCTTGTATGATTTAACCCAATGGTGATGTCATAGCCTCTTCCATTCCCCACTTACCAGAGCCAGGTCCCCTATGAGTCATGGCTGGAGTAATTTCCAATCTATCAAGCACCCAGGGTTCTTTCTCCATCTCAATTTGGGCAACAACATGAGACTTGACAGATGTAAGTCCTAAGGGAGAGACAAGTAAATAGCTAATATTTGCCTAGGTGAAACACCCCATAACAGATCACAGGGGAAAAAAAACTCAAAATAATACAAAAAGAACTAGGAAGGTCATAGATTGGGATGACCACCTAAGCAGGGAGCCTGATGGGATCCACTGGGCAGGTTGCAAGATTCCTAATCCCAAGACCCTTCTGCAAAGCTTCAGGGCAGCAGGTGTTGCAGCTGCTCAAAGAAAGGATGAGACAGTGCACACTGCTCAATCCCTGAAGCCCACAGCACAGATACAGTAAAGCCTGCCAAAGCCACAACCTGTGACAAGAACTTGTCAGAGGAGGGAAACTCCAATATCTTCTGCTAAAATGAATTATATAAGAGGGTTAAGACAGGCCCTTGTCAGAAGTAGAAAATTTGCAAGACCTGGAAAAACAAGATAGTCTAGATTTCTGGCTCTTACAGGTTTCACTGAACAAGGAAAATGAGGAAGGAAGCCATGACTATGGTTCTGTGGGAGCACAGAGCTGTCTCTTGGGAACGGCAAAAAGGCAGAGACTGGCTCGGGACAGGTAGGTGGAAAGGTCTTACCTAATGAGGCTATAACTGCAAAGTTCTCCAGTATTACATTGCAGTACAAGAGCCGTTGAGCCTCATCAAGGAGGCTCCATCCCTCCTGGGAAAAGGAAATAGCCACATCCTCAAAAGTCACACAGCCCTGCAGAATGGAAACAGTTCATTAAATGACCAGCTTCTCTTTTTGGTAACCCCTATCCACCTCCCTGCTTCTCCTCCTCCCCACCTGCCCAATTTGAGAAGATACTTTCCTTTTCACTTATGTTTCACTTATGTCAGCTCACAACAACAGGCAGCTCTAGGTCAGGGATGGAGGGTCCAGTTCTCTCATCTGTGAGCCCCTTCTCCTAGTGCTGGCAAGGTCATGCCTCCCAAATATACTGGGAGACAGATCTTCTCCCTTTAGTTCCCAGCATCAGGGCCCTATGGCTGAGAGTTCACACTTCCTCCCCACATGCATACCACAAGTTGGACTGCACCTTCCATACAAATCTGAACCCCATCCCTACATCTCCACTGTTACTGGTCTCTCTTACCCCAGTCCATATGTCATTGGGCTCCACACAACACTGTGGTCACAGCATCCAGAGAGTACCCGGCAAATACAACCATGAACTTCATCTTACTCCAGACTTTGAGTGACTCCCACTGCCAAGACCACCACCCAGTCCTGCTTTGAAGGCCTCCTCACCTCCTGGACAATGAAGCTTTTTTTCTGGCTTGTAAACAACTGAGAACCACACTCAGATCTCAAATGCCCTTTGACCTCTTTTCTGTTGCACATTCATTCAACAGTTAAATCATCTGGCTCTCTTATCTTCAATTAACCAGAATTTAGACATTCTCCCAGTTGGATACATTTACCCCTGAGCTAATTCTCCACCCTGACTGAAAGGCCTCAGGCCTTATTAAGGGTCTCTACAAAAGCCTAGTGAGAACACAGATAGCCAAATAAGCACTATAATACTACCTTCATTATGGGAAATTTGGTCACCTTCCAGATTCTTGTCTACCCAAATACAGCCCCCTTCAGCCTCCATCCCCACTCTTCTTGGCTATCTTTAACGATGCTTAACAAGTCAATTATCGTATCCAAACACTTTGTTTTCAATTCTCAGAGCCCATTTTCCTCTTTCTCCCTAAAAGCACTGCCGCCATGACCTGAAAATTTTCCTTCCTAAATGTGATACACAGCTGTACCATTGCCCATATACCACATGCCATAGTGTGAATGCTTCTAAACATAGTATCTCCCAAAACTTTATGCCTAGATGTCTATTCTTCAACTCCACATAGAGTTCTCTGGAACATCAGAAACTCAACCCACTTAGAGTAGACCCTCCAGTCAGTTTTCAGAGTTTGAAATCACACTGTTGGCAGTGCAACTCCTTACCCACTATACCATCTTGCTGCTGTTTGGTGTCACTGAGTCAAGTATACAATTCATAGTGATCCTTTGAACAATAGATCTGAACCCTGCTTTATTCTGTGCCATTCTCATGATTCTGACACAGCTGAGCCAACTGCTGCAGTCACTGTGCCACTCCATCTCATCGAGGGTCTCCTGTCTCTCGCTGACCCTCCACCACTCTTAGCATGATGTCCCTCTCCAAAGAACAGCCTTTCCTAGCAACATGCCCAAAATATGTGAGACAAATCTTCATCATCCTTGTCTCCAAGGAACACTCTGGCTGCTGCATTTTTTCCAAGACATATTGATTAGGCCACCTAGTCAAACTTAAAAGGCAGAACCACTGTCATTTCTTAATCGAGTTTTCTGTGTCTTTTCTTTTTTTAATTTTGTTAAATTTGCCAGTGACCCTTTCAAAAAAACAGCTCCTGGTCTTATTGATGTTTTCAATTCTGTTTTCTATCTCATTTATTTCAGCTCTTGTCCTTATAATTTCTTTTCTTTTACAGGTTGTAAGATTAGATTGTTGATCTTTTTCTATTTGCTGAAGGTGTTGAGTTAGATCATTGATTCTTCTTCCTTCTTCCTTTTTTATGTGTGTGCTTATTACTATGAACTGACCTGAGGACTGCCTTAGCTGTATCCCAGAGGTTTTGGTAAGTTGTATTTTCATTACCATTTGTTTCAAGGAACTTTTTAATTTCATTCTTTATTTCTTTTTTTAACCCAATCATGTTCTAGCAGAGAGTTATTTACTTTTCACATGGGTGTTTTTGTAAGCTTTGCTCTCCTGTGTTTAATTTCTAGGCATTGTAGTCTGAGAAAATACTTTGTATTATTTCAATGTTTTTTAATTTGTCGAGGCTTGCTTTGTGCCCTAATATATGATCTATTCTGGAGAATGTACCATGTGCACTTGAGAAGCAAGTTAATTGAGTTTTAGTTGGCACAAATGGAGATTTGTATCCCATGTTCATAGCAGCATTATTCATCATTGCAAGAACATGGAAACAGCCCAAATGTCCAATCACAAATGAATAGATTGAGAAATTATGGTACAGTCACATGATGGAATACTATGCAGCATGCAGGAGCAATGATTTTTTAAATTATTACATCACTGAGTCCCACGAGGACAAATATTGTATAAAACTATTACTGTAGAATAAGGACCCAAAGGGGTTAGGGGAAAGTGGAAGCAGAAGGATGAGAATGTGCAGGGGGAGGGGGGATTAATCATGGAGTTGTATAATTTGGGGGGGGTGAGGGAAATTGGAAGAATCTGTTCTCAAAAACAATGTATTTAAATTTTGTAAATAAACTAGTATTTTTTTTTAAAAAAAGGCAAGACCAGAATGTAATCACCTCTACCTATAATCACCAATCTCATCCAGCCACCATAAATAAGCACTCAGTCACCTGAATTATTGCAGTAGTCTTTTCCCCTAAACTCCCTGCCTCCATTCTTACTTCATAGTTCCCACTCTGCATCCAAAAAGAGCCTGTTAATACCTGAGTTAGATCACTTTCTTCCTTTACTCCAGTGAATTCACAGCTTCTATCACCCTTAGTAGGGAGTTGTGGCTTGATGTTTTTGTTGTTAGGCGCCACTGAATAGAGTATGACTCATAGCAACCCTCTCAACAACAGTTCTGAACCCTATCCTATCCTGTGCCATCCTCATCATCTCTGATGCACTTCATTCCATTGCTAAAGTCCATAAAATCCACCTTGTTGAGGGTCTTTTTCTCTTTTGCTGACCCTCCACATTTCTTCTCCAAGGAGCAGCCACTCCTAGAAATAAGAGATGAAGTGAGAGGAATGTGAGATGAAGCTTTGCCATCTTTGCTACCAAGGAGAACTCTGGCTGCACTTTCCCCAAACATTTGTTTGCTCTTTGGCAGTGCATGGGATGTTCAGAACTCTTCTCCAACACCTCAGTTCAAAGCCATCAATTCTTCTTTCTTCCTTATTCATTGTCCAGCTAGCAGACGCATAACAGATGACAGAAAAGACCATGGCCTGAATCAGGCACACCTAAGACATCAAGTTGACATCACTGCACCTCAGTAATTTGGAGAGGTTGATGGCAGAAGATTGAGGCTCATGTGTGAAGTCATTGGATTCTTCTGAAAGGTGGGTTCTTCTTGTTTTGGTCGAAGGTTGGGAGTGGAATGTTTGCTTGTTTTTATTTTGTTCACAACCATGTGTGAGTTGATTGGATTTGGTGGATCTGGCTAGCAATGAGCTGTGGGCTGGAAGCTTCTTGTTTAGAGCCAATCAGGGTTGGTGCACAGGCATACATATTTAAGTCAGCTGAATCCTGACTGAGTCTTCAATTTGGAAGCTCAAGTGTGAAGTCATTGGATTCTGCAGCCCTCCGGCCTTGTGTTAACGGTGTTTGGAATGAACATTCTTCTAAGTGGTACAGCACTGGTCTGTCAATTCGCAGGCGACTCGACGGCACATAACAACAACAACAACAAGGTAACTTGGGGTTTGTTGCTGTCCATTCACCAGCAACGAACAGCAACACCCTGATGGGGGTAAACACGACAGAGACACACCACTCCGGGAGCCGTTCAGAGTCAATCCAGCTCAACTTTATTGGGGGCTGCATCACACTTATATATAAGCAAGTAAACAGGAAGACAGGATAGGGTGGGTTTGTGGAAGTGAGACATGCGGATTGGATAGGAGAACCTCAGCCTTGTGTGGACTACTCTTAGTTCAACAGATGCAGCAGCCATTTTCCCAGGTGACGAGCTTTCTCAGGCTGGTACAGCCTAACACAGGGGAGCTTTCTCTATTAAAGGTCCCATATTAAAGGTCGTTGGGAGGCTTGCACTTATCCGAAGCTAGGTGATCTCCTGGCCTGAAGCCCTTCCTTCCTCCCCAACAGGAGTTGCTGTGATACTGAATACTGTGCCACTGGTGTGTCAAATGCCATAAAGGTTACCCACAGTGGACCCACGGTGGACGGTTTGGTGGAGCTCTCAGATTAAGAAAGGCTCGGAAGCATGTCTAAACAACATGCCTCTAGAAACTCTATGAACTTAGAGAAACAACAATAGTTATAGCACAGGATTCAGGTCTTTTGTTCATAAGGTCGCTAAGAGTCACTTAACAGCACTTAACGACACTTAACAGTAACAACAACATGGCAGAGGACTTGCCCAATGCAATAGGTCTCCTGATATCTGGGATGCTGGTACCAAGGGATGTTGATTGTGGATATAAGTAAAATGAAATTGTTGACAATTTCATTCTTTTCTCCACCTGTCATGATATTGTTTCTTGGTCCAGTGGTGAGGAGCTTTGTCTTCTTGATGTTGAGATGTAATCCAGGTAGTCTTTGATCTTCTGTAGCAAGCATTATATATCTTCCTCACTTTCAGCAAGCAAAATTGTGTCATCTGCATAATGCAGGTTGTTGAAGAGTCTTCCTCCAATCCTGATGCCACATTCCTCTTCATGGTGTCCAGTTTCTCGAATTATTTGCTCAGCATACAGATTGAATAAGTATGGAGAAAAGATACAACCCTGATGCACATCTTGATTTTAAAGCATACAGTGCTCTCTTGCTCTGTTCAGACAACAGCTTCTTGGTCTAGATATAGGTTTTATGCAAGCATAATTAAGTGCTCAAGGATTCCCATTCTTCTCAATGATGGCCAGTTTGTTATGATCCTTACATTAAAATGCCTTTGGATAGTCAATAAAACACAAATATATATTCT